CGAGTGCCGCTGCTTCGAGTGGCGATCCGCTGAGTCGGTGTCGCGTTTCCTGGTTGAGAGGAGTTGGGGTTTCCTCTCAAGTGCAGTGTGGACAAAAATGGGTCCAAGAGCAACGACTGGCCCTTTGGTCGGTCGTTGTTCTAAATGTCAATTAAATCTAAAGTTGCAACACTTTAGTTTATATGTGTCGAAACTAGGGTAGCTCGGGGAGGTTTTGTTGGGGGCTCAGCGTGCCGTGCCTGTACGGTAACTCCTCCCCCCTGGATTGAAGTGATGGCCAGAACGAAGGGGTGGACATAACGAAACTTGTCTCGGGTAATGATGGGGTGTAGACGATCTTCTTATTTCGGGTAATCACTATAAATATAATAATTCCTCCAATGATCAGCAGTAAATATAATGTTCCAAAATTAGTCGTTGTAATCTTCTTCAAGTATAATATGGAATTTTGGTCATCGATAGTCTTTAGATTTAGTTTGTGTAGACTTATGTCCTCGATGTTGTCTGTGATATTTATTTTCAGTATGTTGGTCATTGAGATTTCCAACTTGTTCTGTAATGTTGGTAGTTCTTTATCATATGGGATACCATTGATGCTGACTGAACAATTATCAAAAGTCAACAAGGCTGATCCGGATATGAAAAATTTTTTAGAACAGTTCGATTCAATTGTTGTATTGACCGTGTTAAAGATGAATACATGAGCTGGTTCGACTTCAGTAATGGTTTCTATTTTACCCACATCTTTCGTTTTGCAGGATGCCGTTTCCAGGGAGAGAATGCCGCTGAGACAGTCCGACTTAAAATCGCTAGCAGTAGATTCTAACTCGTTGCAAATGTATAAGTGTTCATTGTTAGTGCATCTATTATTAAAGTATTTAATATTGTTTGAATTGTGATATGCAATATAATTGGGAATTATTACAAATTTAGTTTGATCTATGGGTAATGGAACAATGTGTAGGAACTCGTAATGGAGTTTGTTAAATGTTGGTATTTTAATTTTAAAGGTGATCTTGATGCCTATCATGAAAGTCTCTAATTCTAGTAATTTGAAGATGTTGTCATCTAACATTTCTCTAATATCGACGTCATCTATTTCATTTCTTATTGTATTCATTTCTTCCTGAGAAATTATAAAGGTAGGTACAATTTTTAATTTTGATAGCAACATGCTTTATTCGATATTAATAACATAGTTGGATAGGACATCGATATTCATACTTATTCTAGTGATATATTGTAAAACGTGTATAAATTTGTTCTCTGTATTAATTGTTTTGTAAATAGTGTTTTTGTAATCCATATATATAAAACTGTTCATTGAAAACCAAGAATCAACGCACAGCCTAAACTAATTAAATGACCCTATTACAATTTTTTACCATTCAATTCTTATAACACTAAACTGATTTGCTAAGATTTATTTTGGCGACAAACATGCCCCCATTTTCTTCCAGTGGCAAAAAACCCCCAATTTCTATAAAAAAATCTGGACGCTAAACGCGTTAATCAATCGATGCGATTTTTGGCCAAAATTTAGTCCTCTACATAATAAAGTTTCTATTTAATTTAATATTCGATATTTTAATGTTTACTATTTTTTATCGATCTTTGAAAATCTAAGAATCTTCCTCATTTTTTCCAAACGGCAAAAAAAACACTGATCTAAGTCAATTAGCAATATGAAAATTTATCGAGGGAATCCTGATACTTTAAGGATTCATATGGTGGTTTTACTGAAGCTCTAGGTCAATTCTAAAAAAAGTTACATTAGCCTAAAGTAGGAATAATAATTCCAACAAATTATACACAAGCATTGAACACCGAATGCATTCTCTCGCACTGTCTCAATCTCTCTCTCTCTCTCTGACTCTGTGTAGTACAATAATTGTGCGGCGGCTGATCTTCATTTCTTTTTAAAACTTAAAATTAAAAACTTAAAACTGAATTGAAGTTAACAATAAATTAACAATAAATTAAAATTAAATTATACCAGCAACACACACGAATAAACCCCGTCAAAGCGTTCAAGCCGCTGGGCTTTTGGAAAAGGGCAGGGGGGAGTCATCATCTATATACATAAAACTGTTCATTGAAAACTAAGAATCAACGCACAGCCTTAACTAATTAAATGACCCTATTAACATTTTTTACCATTCAATTCTTATAACACTAATCTGATTTGCTAAGATTTATTTTGGCCACAAACATGCCCCCATTTTCTTCCAGTGGTAAAAAACCCCCAATTTCTATAAAAAACGAGGACGGAAGCTAACTTCGGCAAGCCGAAGTTTTAATACCCTTGCAGACTTTGCCGAAATTGCTAAAACTGAAAAAGTAGCCAAAGGAATAAGGTATACATAAATAAACTAGATTTTCATCGTTTAATGTCAATTGCTTTTATACTGCAAAAATGTCATATAAAAATAGAAAAATAGGGATACTTTCGCAGCCTTTAACTATTTTTCCTACGGAAGCTATAAGAAATAGACGTCCGATCGGCAAGCGCTTTTACCCTAATCAAGATATGCGTAAATAAATAAGACTTGGAAAAATTTATGTCAGTAGCTTACACACTACGCGAAAAATTCAGAAAATCATCAAATTTGGACCTATTTCACCCTGTTGTTCCTATGGGAGCTGTAGGATATAGACGTCCGATCGTCACGTGCTTTTATCATAATCAAGGTATGCATAAAAAAATACGATTTGGAAAGATTCATGTCAATTGCTTATATACTGTGCGAAATATCCTAAAAATCATTAAATTTTAACCGATTTCACCCTATTGTTCCTATGGGAGCTATAGGATATAGACGTCCGATCGCCAAGCGCTTTTACCCTGATCAAGGTATGCATAAAAAAATAAGATTTGGAAAGATTTATGTTAATAGCTTTTACACTGCACAAAATATTTTCCATTCTTGAAAGTTATATCCGATTGTTCCTATGGGAGCTATAGGATATAGACGTCCGATCAGCACGCGCTTTCACCTTGATGAAGGAATGTATAAAAAAATACGATTTGAAAAAATGTATAGCAATAGCTTTTACACAGCGCGAAATATTCTGAAAAACATAAAATTTGGACCGATTTTACCCTATTTTTCCTATGGGAGCTATAGGATATAGACGTCCGATTGCCACGCGCTTTTACCCTGATCAAGGTATGCATAAAAAAATACGATTTGGAAAAATTCATGTCAATAGCTTTTACACTGCGCGAAATATCATCAATTTTTGCTAGATATATCCGATTGTTCCTATGGGAGCTATAGGATATAGACGTCCGATCGGGGCGATTTTCAAACTTGATCTGCGTACACATGTTTTAGGACGCGTGTGAAAGTTTCAGATCGCTAGCTTTTAAACTGAGCTCACAAACGGTATTGAAACAGACGGACAGACGGACAGACGGACAGACGGACATGGCTATATCGACTCCCCTATTGATCCTGATCAAGAATATATATACTTTATGGGGTCGGAAACGTCTCCTTCACTGCGTTACAAACTTCTGACCAAAATTATAATACCCTCTGCAAGGGTATAAAAATCTGGACGCTAAACGCGTTAATCAATCGATGCGATTTTTGGCCAAAATTTAGTCCTCTACATAATGAAGATTCTGTTTAATTTAATATTGGTTATTTTAGTGTTTACTATTTTTTATCGATTTTATTTTTGTTATCTAAGAATCTTCCTCATTTTTTCCTAACGGCAAAAAAACACTGATCTAAGTCAATTAGCAATATGAAAATTTATCGAGGAAATCCTGATACTTTAAGGATTCATATGGTGGACTTACTGAAGCTCTAGGTCGATTCTAAAAAACGTTACATTAGCCTAAAGTAGGAATAATAATTCCAACAAATTATACACAAGCATTGAACTCCGAATGCATTCTCTCGCACTGTCTCTCTCCCTCTCTCTGACTCTGTTTACTACAATAATTGTGCGGCGGCTGATCTTGATTTCGTTTTAAAACTTAAAATTAAACAAATGAAGTAGCATTGGTATTAGTTAACCAACAATTTCAAAATCGAGACATTGTTATTGAGAGTCATAATAACAAACTTAAACGAATTTGTGAACTTCATCGATCTTATGACTACTTACAATATGGATTACTTTTTTGCTACGGAGAGGACGGTTATTCAGTAAATATACCTCAACGTGACCCTATTAAAAATATTTATCTAAAAAGAGCAAATCAAAAAAAGTTGAGTGCAGAAAGTTATATTCATCTTCAAGACGCTATTGGTAGGGGTGAGCGGATGTGGCTCAACTTGGTCAAATGATTATTTTGCCATCTACTTTTACAGGTTCACCTCGATGTATGCATGAAAAGACACAAGATGCCATGACTAATGTTGTTCAGTTTACTGCTTGTCCCGATAGTTTGAGAGCGAACCGATCAGCTGATCGTTCGCTCATCTGGACCTGTGTAGGACGAGGGCAGAGAAAACAAAACGCAACCAGAACCAACAGTCTGCACGGTCGAACAACGCTGAACGCACGCCGCCGGTCTACCGAAATTTGCACTTTATCATACTTTTGTTAATCTTGGAATCAGAATAATTATATCGCTTTGAATTTATCTTTTGTGTTTGCCTTTGCCTGGGAACCTCTCGTACAATGACCCCTCGTTGACTTAATACAAGGGGACACAACTGAACATGGTGGCCCATGAGGGGAACCTGCAAAGCAAATACAGTTCGTAAAAGGTTAATTAGAATTCCGTTAAATAAATTTCGTCAGATCGACACGCCGGCTCAACGAAGCAGTGCAAAGAAGACGTCGATACATAAGCGCAGCAACGGCAACCCGGACTTTGCAAAGCGCCGTTATCTCTTCCCTTCCTCTTTGTGGTGTGGTTCTGGTATGCAAGCAGAGTGAGTTACCAAGTTGTGTGCGAGACAAGTATTACAGATTTATGTATTACATAATTATTCGGGGTGGTGAGTTGCGCAGGCCTTAGTCTTACACCTGCCAACATGAAACCTGTGTCGGCTGATTTGGACAAGTTGGTGAATCTGCAATCAGATCGTCACCAAGCTCTCAGGTCTGTGTTACAGAATTTTAGGAAAGATTCGCAGGCGAGGAAAACTAAAATTTATCTCAAAAAAAGGCTGGACCAAGTGGAGGAATTACGGAACGCTTTTCGGGAGACGCACTCGGTGATCGTTAATTTGGATGGATTTAGTGATTCAAGTTACGCCACGAAGAATTTCCAATCAGAATTCGAGGAGCGTTATATGGACGCTTATTGCGCTCTCGCCGAAGACTTCGACAGGCTTGGACCAGAAAATAATACGCCGACAGCAGCCGCCGGGAACGCCGACCCGGAGTTGCGAGTAAACATGCCGCAAATGTCGGTGCCTAAATTTTCCGGTGCGTGTGTGGACTGGCCAGGCTACTACGACGCCTTCACAAGTCTAATTCATAACAACAACAATTTGAGCAATGTCCAAAGATTGCACTTTCTTAAGGAGTCGTTGCCCATAAGTCGTGATAATGACATTCGTCAGATGCAACTCACGGATGTAAATTATGCAGTGGCTTGGGGAATGATGATCAAAAGGTACAACAATCCTCGTCTCGTTTTCTCACACCATATGAACGCAATCTATGCGCTGCCCAGATTGCAAAAAGGACAGCACCGACTCTCTGCGGTCGATGCTAAGCACGGTCAATGTTTGCCTAGCTGCCTTCCGCCGCGTTCAAGCCTTGGGCGGGGAATCGCAGCACTGGTTGGCGCATTACATAGCATCGAAGCTGCCCAAGGAGACCCACAACGCTTGGGAGCACCACCAAGGTAGCTCTTCAACGGTTCCATCCTATAGGGACTTGGAATCATTTCTGAACGATCGGCTAGTCATAATGGATGCGATTGAGAATCGAAGCTCGTCGTACGACTCCAATGCTGGCCCAGGTTCAACAGACCCGATCAAACGCGTGCGAGTGCATAATGCACAGGAGCAACCAAGGCGTTCGAATAACCCTTGTTATCACTGTGGCGGCGACCACATCCTACGTCGCTGTCCACCTTTCTTGGCGCTGGACTGTTACAAGCGCAAGGACATAGTCAGTAGGGCTAAATTATGCGTCAATTGCTTGAGCAAGTCGCATGCCCTGTCTCGCTGCACCAGCAACCAATGTTGTCAGGTTTGTGGTCAGCGCCATCATACGTTGCTACATTTCCCGGTTCCGGCTCAGAACCAGTCTTCGAACGCTCAATCGCATCCTGCCCGGCCGCCGACACCGCAGTTTGTGACGCCGGCACCCAGGGAAACAGTGTCTGCACACAACACACAGTCCAGGTCGGATCAAAATCCGCACGCATCTTACAGATGTCATTCGGCGACGTCATCCAACCTTTCCTCGAAAAATTTACTCCTCGCTACGGCTCGTATTATGGTACGAAACCCGACCAACGGCCTGCAAGCAGTAATAAACGCTCTCGTCGATCAAGGATCTGAGGCAACCATAGTATCTGAACACGTTGTTCAGTCCCTTCATTTGAAACGATCTGCCGTCAGAGCATCCATTTTTGGGGTAGGACAAGGGGGCGGTCGTCGTTGCAAGTATACGGTCAACCTTGAAATCAACAGTATTAATTCCAATTTTTCTTTAGATGTTGATTCCGCATATGTGCTCAATTCCGTAACATCCGGCCTCCCCAGTCTCAGCTTCTCGCCGAAGCGATGGGATCACATCCAAGGGCTCCCGTTGGCTGATCCAAATTATTACAGATCGAAACGAGTTGATCTCATCTTGGGAGTGGACCTGTTGGCACAAATCATGTTGCCAGACACGAAGATTGGATTGCCCGACGAACCCATAGCTCAAAATACCCGTTTGGGGTGGATACTATCTGGGCGAGCAGAAGGAGTTACAAAATCTTCCGAACTACTCTGTCATCGAGTAACTTTGGACACGGAGTCATTGCTCAAACGGTTCCTGATCGTTCTACGGAAACGGAGGAGGATACATGGTGCGAAACATTTTACGATTGCCCTTTAAAACATATTTGGATCCAACAATGGTATTGGGGAGATCTCATCAAATGGCGCTGAATCGGTTTATGCAATTGGAAAGGCGTCTGTCGAACGACCCGGGGCGGTGGAACAAATATGTGGAGGAGATCGAGGAGTACTTTTCGCTTGAGCAAATAGCGCCTGCTGTGGGCAGTGAGAGCAGTCTAATGAAGCGCACATCTTCGAATATGCATGTAGCTTCATGCGTGCTTCCGCACCATGCGGTCTTCAAGGAGGAACTCCATTCGATCAAACAAAGAATCGTATTCGATGCCTCCTCAAGAACTAGTAACGGGAGATCATTGAACGATATACTTTGTATCGGACCCACTTTGCAGAACGACATGTCATCGGTTATACTCAACTGGCGGAAATATCGTTTTGTTTTCACGGCGGATATACAGAAGATGTATCGCTGCATAGATGTTCACCCAGAAGACGCCCAATATCAGCGGATTTTATGGCGGGCGGCGGATGGAGCCATCAATGTTTTTGCGTTATCGACATTGACCTTTGGGACGGCTTCAGCACCGTTCACAGCTATCAGAGTTATTCAACAGCTGGCAAAGGATGAGCAGCTTTCATTTCCTAAGGCCAAGGAGGTGCTGATGAACGAAATATATGTAGACGACATTCTTTCTGGAGGACATACTATAGAGGAGGCAGAGGATAAGCGGTTGCAGGTATCGGGTGCTATAAAATCCGCACGCATGGAGTTGCGAAAGTGGGCCAGCAACGATTCGAGACTTTTGCTCTCGATTCCGTCAGAGTACCATTGCACTCAGACCCTGTTAAGTTGGGACACTACAGATCCCATAAAGGCTTTAGGAATGTATTGGCTGCCAAACAAGGACTGTTTTAAATACCAGATCAACTTCGAGATGCCAGTCAGCTCCACAAAGAGGATGATCCTATCCAGTATAGCAAGGTTGTTTGACCCGCTGGGTCTCATTGCGCCGGTCATCATCTCGGGAAAACTTATATTGAAGGAGGTTACCATGGCCAAGACAAAGCAGGCAGATGGCACGCAGACGGTTTTGGGCTGGGACGACGCGGTTCCTGATAATATCGCAGAGCGATGGCGAGTATTTCGAGACCACTTACTGAGGATCGGCGAGATAAGCATAGATCGGTGGATCCATTACACCCCATCTTCAATATCCTCAGTGCAGATGCATGCATTTTGCGACGGATCTTCCACGTCTTATGCAGCCGCTGTGTACCTAAGAGTAGAGCATCAGGACGGAAGATGCTATACATCTCTGATGGCTGCAAAATCAAAGGTTACTCCCACCAAGCCCCTAACTATACCTCGAACAGAGTTAAGTGGAGCGGTATTGGCCATCAAATTGGTGAGGTGGCTAACTATGGCTAAGTTTCTGAGCTCCTTTCTGGTCCAGACTTTCTATTGGACGGATGCTACAATTGTGCTGCACTGGTTGCATGGAGACGTCAATAAATGGAAGACCTTTGTTGCGAATAGAGTCGCCTTCGTTTTGGATCATTCCTCGCCAATTCAGTGGAGGCACGTTAGCACTACCGAGAATCCAGCGGATTGCGCTACACGCGGTCTCACTCCCATCGAGCTAAAGGACTTCGATCTGGCGAGGGCCAGAGTGGCTCGTACGCAATCAAGACTGTTGGCCATCGACAGATTTCGGTCAAATTGGCATTAACGACGCCGCTTTAGAGGCAAAGGTGGCAAAAATGCGAGTTCACCATGCAGTCCCGCAGCTGTCGTTTCTTGAGAGATTTTCAACACTCAGCCAGGCTTTACGAGTCACAGCCTACATCATGCGCTTCAAGGACAACGCGTTCGGCAAGGTAGACAGGCGCCTTGGGCCCTTAATCACTGAAGAGCTCGACTACGCTTTATTAGCCGTCGTGCGTATCGTACAGCGCGAATCGTTCGCAACCGACTTGTCTGCAGTAAGGAACTCCAAACGGTTGCCCTCGCGGAGCAAATTATTAAATTTGTCGCCGATATTAGAGGAAGGCATCTTGCGGGTGAGGGGACGACTTCGCCATTCTAGTTTGTCGCACGAACGTCGTCATCCGATAATCCTGCCAAGCTCTCATCATTTCACCGAATTAGTAATACGTCACTCTCACTGTCTAACCCTGCACGGAGGCGCGCAATTGACTTTGGCACACGCGCGTCAGCGTTTTTGGATCCTGACAGGACGGCAAGCAGTTCGAAGGGTCATACGGAAATGCGTTCGCTGCTTCAGAACGCGACCAACTACTACGGCTCAGCTTATGGGAGACTTGCCCGTTCATCGAGTCAACCCTCCTAGTCGACCATTCATTGCCACTGGTGTCGACTACACAGGCGCAATAGAGATTAAAGCAGCGCGTCTACGAGGCACTAGCTTTTACAAGGGATACATCGCTGTGTTCATTTGTCTCGCAACCAAGGCGGTGCATTTGGAGGCGGTGACAGGTCTCACCACGGAACATTTTTTGCTGGCTCTGGACAGGTTCACCGGGCGACGAGGAATGGTTCAGCACCTTTACAGTGACAACGGTACCAACTTTGTTGGTGCAGACAATGTAATGAAGACGGTGTACGGTCAGCTTCAAGCGGATTACGAGAAGCTCATCGCCCCCAAGCTTGCATCGCAGCGCACAACATGGCACTTCAATCCTCCTCTGTCACCTAACTTTGGTGGGCTTTGGGAGGCCAATGTAAAGTCGGTTAAACACCATCTAAAGAGAGTCATTGCAGATCGTCGGCTTACCTACGAAGAGTTGTCTACGGTGCTCGTAAGCATAGAAGCGTGTCTCAACTCAAGGCCGCTTTGTCCTCTCACGGCTGACCCGGACGATCTAGAAGTGCTCACCCCAGCGCACTTCCTCATCGGAGACTCAATGCTGGCGCCGCCGGAATATCAACCACAATCCAGATCCTTCGCAGAGCAGTTCCTCATCCAGCAGACGATGATACGACATTTCTGGAAGGCTTGGAGTCGTGACTGGTTAGCGCATCTTCAGCAAAGGCCAAAGTGGTGTCAGGAGACCGAAAGCTTTCAGCTTAACGACCTTGTCATTATCAAGGACGACAGGTTCCCCCCATCGCAATGGTTGCTCGGGCGTGTTATGGAGGTGCACCCAGGGACGGACGCACTGGTCCGGGTGGTGACAGTTAGAACTAAGCAGGGGCAGCTGAAGCGATCCGTAGCAAAGCTCTGTCCTCTGCCAATCCGCGCCTAAACGCACTCACCTCGATTTATAGACTGTATCTTGCGCACACTTCTTGCTCTCATCTCTCCATATTAGATTCCGAGGATACGCATCCGAGCTCGCTTATCATTACCACAGCCTGGAGAACCCGGACAAAGCGAGGATGTCTCATGCTAGGTCTAGCATTAGCGGGCGGCATGTTCAGTTTACTCCTTGTCCCGATAGTTTGAGAGCGAACCGATCAGCTGATCGTTCGCTCATCTGGACCTGTGTAGGACGAGGGCAGAGAAAACAAAACGCAACCAGAACCAACAGTCTACACGGTCGAACAACGCTGAACGCACGCCGCCGGTCTACCGAAATTTGCACTTTATCATACTTTTGTTAATCTTGGAATCAGAATAATTATATCGCTTTGAATTTATCTTTTGTGTTTGCCTTTGCCTGGGAACCTCTCGTACAATGACCCCTCGTTGACTTAATACAAGGGGACACAACTGAACAATGGTCGTCCTGATCTTTTTATTACATTTACATGTAACCCAAAATGGGAGGATATAACAAATGAGTTATTTCCAGGCCAAAAGTCTCAAGATCGACATGACATCATATCACGAGTTTTTCATTTGAAGGTTAAGGCTTTAATGGCGTTGTTGATTAACGGCCGGTTATTTGGGGAAGTGCAGTGCTTCATGTATTCTATTGAATGGCAAAAACGTGGTCTCCCCCACGTACACATACTTATGTGGTTAAAGATTAAAATTATGCCTAATCAAATCGATTCTTACATTTGTGCAGAAATTCCTGATTTACAAAAGGATCCTTTGCTGCATGAGATTGTTAAGACTAACATGATACTTGGGCCATGTGGTGTATTAAATATTAATTCGCCATGTATAAAAGATGGTAAATGCACAAAAAAATTTCCTAAAAAGTTTTTTAAGGAAACTATTACTGGAAATGATGGTTATACCCAATATCGGCGAAGATCCCCAATGGATGGGGGCTTACTGTTAAAATTAATGGTATAACTGTAGATAATCGTTGGGTTGGGTCATACAATTCCGTGCTTTTGCGGACCTTCGGAGCTCATATAAATGTGGAACATTGCAACTCAGTAAGTCTATTAAATACATTTGTAAATATGTTAACAAGGGCAGTGACCAAGCAACAGTTGCAGTCGAGAGTCTTAAAGATGAGGTCCATGTGTACCAAAGTGGTCGATATATAAGTAGCTCAGAGGCAGTATGGAGGATTTTATCGTTTCCAATACATGAAAGATATCCCCCTATTTTTCATTTAAGTGTTCATTTGGAAAATGGTCAGCGGATATACTTTGACCCAAATAAACCCAATCAATTAGCTAATCAACTAACTAATCCGGCAAAAACTACGCTTACAGCGTTCTTCGATCTTTGCAAAATTGACCACTGTGCAAAAACACTTCTTTATGTTGAGGTGCCATCCTATTATATTTGGGCTAATAAAAAATTCCAAAGAAGAAAGAATGGGTTAGATGTACCAGAGTTTTCTGGTGTTAAAAAGGATAATACTTTGGGGTGTGTATACAATACATCCAAAAAATAGTGAATGTTATTATTTAAGACTTTTACTTCACGAAGTTCGGGGTCCAACATCATTCTCTTTTTTAAAAACTGTAAATGGTGTTTTGTATAAAACATTCCAATTGGCTTGCAAAGCTTTAGGCTTACTAGAAGATGATAAGCTCTGGGACTGCACATTGGAAGAAGCAGCATTATGCCAGTCTCCAAATAAATTGCGTGACCTCTTTGCAATTATGTTAACTCATTGTCAGTTATCGGATGCTATGCTTCTTTGGAATAAGTACAAGGAAAGTCTTTCAGAAGATATATTGTATAGACTAAAATCTAAAATAGATGACGATATAGATCCAGATCTTATAGAAAAAGTTTTTAATAAATGTTTAATTTGTATTGAAGATCTCATATTGTCAATGGGCGGAGATGTCTTATCAAGTTATGGTTTACCCAAGGCAATTAGAGATAAAGAGTTTTTGGAAAACATCGAGACGAATCAGAACCACCGAACCGCGTAGACGTGTCTTTTTGCTCGCCCTGCCGAAAGACTTCCAAAAATCTACAAAGTGACCACTAAAAATAAGAAAAATAGCGAAAAGACGCTGGCAGCAATGCCATATCCCAAGGTCAACACCTCCTTGTGATTAAAACTAAATTTAAAACAGATTTAGTTAATCCAAAACAATTAAAAATGTCGAACGCAAATAAAATATTAACAAGTGCAACCGGTAAAGCCACGAAGCCAAGTCGCGATCGGCAACAAATACAACTAGACGAACGACGGCTGTCTTCTGCACGGAACAATGCTTACACTTTAATTGACTCATCGGAGGCAACAACAAAATCAACGTCACTGACCGCTACCGAAAGAGACCGCTCACTGTCACCAGCGATTTTATGCTCAAGCAGCGCTGCCGTTGCTCAGTCGTGGAGTTCACAATGCCCGTCACCTCTTTCTCTCATCGATGCACCGACTACATCGGCTTGTGCGCCCACCAGCACTGTACCCTCTCTTACAACAGCAACGTCAACGACAACAACAACTTTAACGTCTGCGGCTACCCAGAGGCCTATCTCAACACCGCAAGCAAAACTCAGCTCTACTGACCCTCTTACGAATAATACTCTCGTACAGACGGCGATCGATCGGTATATACAAATAAAAAGAAAGCTTAGTCCACAAAAAAACGTAAACTCAAATTTGCCAAAAGTACCGAAAACTTTAGGCAATACACGAACATCCGAAAACAGATTTGCCATACTTGGCGAGACCGAAGAAGACAAGGGTCAGGCGCCTCAAATCATGAAAGCTGTAAAGCCACCGCCAATATATATTAGGAAACACAACAGTGTCGATCTGATCAATAAGCTTAAACAAGTAATCGGGCCTAATCACTTCTATATCAACACCCTAAAAAGAGGAAACATATTAGAAGCAAAACTCCAGGTCAACAACGAAGACAACTTCCGTTCTGTAACAAGATATCTCGACAATGAGCTTATAAATTACTACACTTACCAACTAAAAAGTAAGAAAGGCCTACAAGTTGTACTTAAAGGTATAGAATCGACTGTTGCGGTAGCAGAAATAGCTGAAGGCCTCACGGAAAAAGGCTTCGACGTTAAGCACATCGTGAACATAGTAAACAGGGATAAAATTCCATAAAAAACCACTTTTTAAGATTGAGCTGGCCCCAGAGACGAAACCTCTAAAGAAAAATGCAGTGCATCCTATTTACAATCTGCAATATCTCCTTCACCGAAGAATCACCGTAGAGGAACCGCATAAGCGGAACGGCCCCGTACAGTGTACAAACTGCCAGGAGTTCGGGCATACAAGAACCTACTGCACCCTGCGACCAGTTTGTGTCGCCTGTGGAGATTTGCATTGCATTGAAGCATGCCTAGGAAACAAAGAAGACCCTACTCTGAGGAAATGCAGTAACTGTGGGGGAAATCATACTGCCAACTACCGGGGCTGTCCCGTCTACAAAGAACTCAAGAACCGCCTAAATCAGAGACGCAGTAATCCATTCGCCGCTCAACACTCTGCTCAACCAAACATCTTCACCCCATCAACAACCACTCCTGGTGTTTCCTTCGCCAACGCACTCCGCTACCCTGGAATCTCACAAACATCTACCGCCCAGCCTGCAGCATCGCGTCCACAGCCACCCATACCAAATCTGAATGATTTTCCGATCTTAAGCCAAAATGGCCAAAAAACAACTCAACCTTCTACGCAGCAAAACCAAACTCTTCCCCCACAAACACTTGGCGGTCTTGAATCTACACTAGCTACTCTTGCAAACGTCATGATGACGATCCAAAGTTCCCTTCAAGAACTACTGCGAAACCAGAGCCTCCTAATGGAACTGCTGATCAAACAAAAGTCTGTATAAATGGACTCCTTAAGAATATGCTTCTGGAACGCAAACGGCGTTTCCCGGCACAAAAACGAACTCCTACAGTTCCTAAACAGCCACAATATCGATATCATGCTACTTTCTGAAACCCATCTAACTAATAAAAACTACTTCCATATCATCGGATATATATTCCACGCGACCAACCACCCGGACGGTAAAGCACACGGAGGTACCGGTATACTCATAAAACAACGCATAAAACATCATCCCTTGGAGACATTCGCTACTAACTACCTGCAGGCCACATCCCTACGTATAAACCTAATTGGCGGCCCACTTACCCTATCCGCCATATATTGCCCCCCACGTTTCAGTATTGCAGAAAATGAGTTTATGAATTTCTACAACTCACTAGGACGCTGCTTTATAGCTGCCGGTGATTATAACGCAAAGCATCCCCACTGGGGATCTCGTCTTATCAACCCCAAAGGCCGCCAATTATACAACGCTATCATCACTCCTGGTAATATGCTTGACTTTGTCTCACCAGCTAGGCCTACATACTGGCCCACAGATCCAAATAAACAACCTGACATTATCGATTTCGCTGTTATTAGAAGAGTCTCGCACAGGCTGATAAAAGTAAAAACCTTAGAGCTTACATCGGACCACTCGCCAGTTCTCCTCTGTCTATCTGAACAGCCGCAGCTTCTGGAACGCCCCCAACATCTAACATCAAACAAAACAAACTGGCTGAAGTACAAAAAATATGTAAGTGCACACATCGAACTTGATCCTGAAATTTCCTCTGAATCTGACATTGATAAGTCGCTTAAACACCTCACGGACGTAATGTCCTCTGCCGCCAAACATTCTACGCCAGAACCCTCATCCACAAACCCGCTAGGAACTGGACGCTCAAGTATCCAGATCGAGTCTCTCCTACTTGAAAAACGTAGACTCCGCAGAGACTGGCAGACTCATCGGTCCCCAGCTACTAAGAAAAGACTTAATGAAGCATCTCGAAAATTGTCGAAGGCCCTCTCTGCCGAAAAGAACCAGGCCCAACGGGCCTACATTGCGAAACTATCCTCGACGGGTA